GGACCCCGGGTAGCCCCGTCGGGTCCTGCTGTTTCTAGCGGAGCAGGCACGGGGTCCTCAGCCCCGAGGAGGAGGAGGTTGGGGGATTCTGGTTACAGCGATGGTGCAGGTTCTGGCTGCACGCCTGCGGTTGTTGGGGAAGGGCTGCGGCAGCGCATCAGGCAGAGCAAACAGTGGTCGAGGTCATGCTGCAGTGCGTAGGGAGGTTGTGATGTGGCAAGAGGGCAAGAAGCAGCCGTGGACGGCCACCACAGCCCTTGCCCTGGCAAAAAAGGTGCTCAGCCCTGCTGTGCTGCCCTAAAGCCTTGGAAAGGAGTGGGGCATAACACATGGCCCTTGAGCCTCTAGCTTTCCGGTGCAACTGGCCTCTTTAGGCAAAGAGCATCCTCTGCCTCTAGAGTCTCATGTAAGTGGGTAAAATGCATTGATGTGCTTGCTCGGGATCCTGCTCACAGGTTACCAGATCCCGCTTCACCCCATCAAGGTCCTGTGGAAATCTCCACGATGTAACAGCTCGCTTTCTTTTCTGCAGTCCCCAGGGTTTTTCCTCACCAGCTCTGCTCACTGTCACGGTTGGCTTCTTGTGACCAAGCCCAATCTTAACATGAGAATGGGAGATCTTTTGTTTCTTGGTGAGAGTGCTCTGCTGGGGCTACAGAAGTCCAGCTGGAAACAATTCAGTCTGCGTCTTTCCCTGACTGCTCCCTCTCCTCTACTTGCAGGCACAAGTCTTTATTTTTTGCTGTGGCTTATTTGATCCTGATCTTTGGAATCCAGCATTTCATGAAGGAACGGAAAGGCTACAACCTGCGCATACCATTGACCCTGTGGTCCCTCAGTCTGGCCTTGTTCAGGTAAGAGCCTTTGCTAAAGCCAGAGACAGCTGTAGACCTTCCCTCAGGAGTGGATTGATGGGAAGTTCTGGGTATCCACTATGTCATTAGGGTAATAAATGTTTTTTTCCCCTTGGAGGCCCTTTCCCACAAGGGGAAGTGAGCTGCTCACACAGGTCATTGGTTCCCCACCAGAAATACTCCAGCAAGTCAGATGAGTTGCAGAAGGACCGCTGGGGACTGTGCTTGAAAATCATTAGCGGGTAGATTTGAATGTGAAGTCTGCAAGAGCAGAGATCCTCGTTCAAAGGGTACCTGACAATTATAAGTTTGATTTGAGGTCTATTACTCTTAAAAATGGAGATTCCCCCCCTACCACCACCTTTTTCTAATCCTGTTGTGTAGAAGGTGGGGGAAATCCTGGTATGCTCACAGACGCACCTTTCTTACTGTAAATCTAAAGAAGAGCATGAAAGAAGCTGGGAGGTCCTCTCTGGCCATTGCATAAACTGGTTGAATGTATCAAAGTTGCTGACAATCACAAGTTCTTGGGTTGTCTTTCCAGTATGTTTTGATATAGTGGAAAAAAGAAAAAAGTATGAGTAGCTGCAATGGCAGGAGAATGATGGTACAAAGACAGGGTTATTTTGCTGCCCATTTTTAGAGACACCTTTTAAGAACAGCCTGGTACTACTGCCAGGTTCTAGCTCTGATTTCCTCCACCCCCCGCCCCCCTCCCCTCCCCATGCAAGATGTGAAAATCAATCTAAAATATCTGTTTTCAAACTGTCCAGTCCTACGGTACTGATTTCCTGCAGTGACAGTGAGAATGATTCAGCCCGTGCTCTGTAATTAAACAAGTAGATGTCAATTTTCCAACATTCCCCTCACCTCCACACCTTTTCAGTCTGTTTGGTGGGAGACAGCAAAACTAAACTACTGCCTCTAGCTCCAGAGGAGTGTCTCTGCCTACATGCACAAGTTGGCTTTGGTCAAGCCTAAGGGACACTGGTTGCCCTCTGTGAGGGTAGGGCATGGCAGTGGTCTGTAAAATCACAAGTTGTGGGAGAGGGGGATTCAGGGGATGACTGTTCACAGTGTGTTCAGAGACATTCTTCATGCGAATGAAATAAGATTGATAAGAAAGAAAAAGGGATGTTTCTTCTCATAAGCTGTAGGAACTGCCTGCCACAGGAGGTTGTAAATGCTCCCTGGGCATGCACTGTTGGCCCTTGTCAGGAGATGGGACACCAGGACAATTGTCCCCTTTTTCTGACCAGACATGGCCGCTCTTACTCTTGAGTGCCTCTTCAAGCGGTGGAAGCAGAGGGTGTAACGAGGGAGCGTTCTTCGCTGCTCATACCTTGGCTGCTGCCATCCTCCAGGAGCTGCCGCATGGAGCCAGGCAAGCCAAAGGGCCATGTTGGTGACTCACAACCTACTTACTCCTTGTGCCTTCCTGTTGTTCCTGTGTGAGCAGCAGCCCTTCCTTGCTTTGTCTTGCAGAAATATGTGTGTTTGAAACCCTGGCCAAGAGGTCTTGGGCAAGCCTGTGCCCAGCAAACAGGGGGCTGAAACCTGCTTGGAAGTCTAAGAAGACAATAGTTTGTTTAGATGTCCCTGAGACTGCCCTGGGCATCGAGGAGGAGTTAGCGGAGCATTCTTGCGTGCAGAGCTGTCAGAGGCTCAGGTGGGGCCCTGGGCGCAGTGTTCAGCTCTCCTCTGGTTTTATTGCAGTGCCATTGGGGCCCATCGGGCGTGGAAGCAAATGGCCTTCATCCTCTCTACCGAGGGATTTAAGCAATCTGTGTGTAGTCAATCCTTCTACGTCCACCCCGTCTCCAAGCTTTGGGCCTATTTATTTGTGCTGAGCAAACTCCTGGAACTGGGTGAGTCTGAAACTTCTCCTTATCCTGTGCGTTCATAACTCCTTTGCTTTTACAGGTTTTTTTTACAGGTATCTGTCCAAATGTTTTTTGGAGAACAGGGCTGTCTAGCCTTGCACGTGTCACTCATTTTTTCGCTCCCTGTTGCTCAACATGCTCTCTCTCCACAGGGTTGCAGCCTGACGTTATTGCTCTGGTTTTATTCCCAGGCCAGTGCCTGGACTACGCAATTCTGCACTGGGATGACTGCGGCGAGGGGGCGGCAGGCAGGGGAGGGCTGGGCTTTCCACTCAGTTTCCATCCAAAAAACTACAGAAGAGCTGGTCTGAAGTGCTGTGTAGGTAGAGCTAGGTAAGCAAGCTGGGGCAAGGGGCTCTTGTACCACAAACGTGCCAGCAGGTAGATTCCTACATGGGCTTTATCGATACAGACGATTCCAATGGGAAGCTAGGTTTTGGTGGGATCAAGCCACATAATGGCAGCTCGCTCATTCTGCCTCACATGAAAACTTGCCTAACTGCTGTCCTTTTACCTGACTAACAATGCACCTCTCCCCCAACCCAAGGTGACACCATGTTCATTGTTCTCCGGAAAAAGAAGCTCATCTTCCTCCACTGGTACCACCACATTACCACGCTGATCGTCACCTGGTATGGCTATAAGGATATGGTGGCTGGTGGCAGCTGGCTTGCAGTCTTGAACTTCAGTGTCCATGCTGTCATGTACTCCTACTATGCCGTGCGAGCTGTAGGCTTCCAGGTATCCCGCTTCTTTGCCATGTCAATCACCTTTTTACAGATGCTGCAGATGCTGGCATTTATAATATCAAATGTCTTGATCATCTTCTGGATGGAGGATAAGGTCTGCCACACCACCTGGACAGCTCTTTTCCTTTCATCTGTGTTGTATCTCAGTTTCCTGGTGCTCTTCTGCAACTTCTTCTTCAAGACTTATCTGAGGAGCACCCAGAAATCAAAGAGGGAATAAAACAGGGAGGGAAGAGGATACTGGGGTGGAGGGTGGGAGAGGGAAAGGGGAAACTTTTCACTCCTGTCTGGAGCTCAGGTGCCTGATGGGACGGGTGTGATGGGGGTTAGGAGGAGGTCACTCTGGATAACAGCCTTCAGATTAACTTGCGCATTAGCCTTTGGTGTGTCTGCCTTGCAGCGGGTGGCATGCCAGAGTGAGGTGCAGGTTGTTGCAGGCTGATAGCAGGAGGAGAGGGGAGGTGGCCAGGGGCTGGACACCTTGAAGCCGTGGTTCTGCTTTTTCCTCTTCTCTGCATCACTCGGGTTTGCCTTGGCCTCACCTCCTTCCCAGGGACTGCTTGGATCCCTCATGTGCCAAGTATCTCCTTGGGAAAAGGTGAGGAAACTCCTCTCAAAACAGCACTGCCCACTCCATAGTCCCCAGTTCTGGGGGAGAGCAGGAGAGCAGAGCCCAAACCTGCTGCAACTCCATGTGCGGGGACAGTCCCGGTAGGTTGCCAGTGGGAACAGCACTGAACTGGAAAATCCCTGCTGTTTTGTAAGGTTGTGTAGGGAGGGGAAACAGTAACATATTTTTCATCCCGGAACCAAACTTGTAAGGCTTCTTCAGAGCTGCTCTTCCCCTTCAAACCAGTGGCTTCTTCTGGCCGATATGATGCAGTCTGGTTTTAGGCTCCCCCTGTTAACATAGGGAGAGGAGGAACCATTCCCTACCTCATCCAGTGCCCGTCTTGGTTCTGGGCCATGATGAAGATCCCACTCTGCCTCCGTACGCTGGTGCTAGGAGGGCGGGATGTGGGCCAAGGCACTCACTGCCCCAGGACCAAGCTTGTCACACATTTGTACTGTGGCCTTGCACAAGTCCTTCCTTCCATCTCTGTGCCTCAGCTTCTCCTCTTAGCTTGGAGTAGCACTGACCCCTCTGTACCAATCTGTGGGGACAGGGGCTGCTTAAAGAGCATTTTGTGGCCAGATGCTGCGCAGACATTTAGCGCTGTGCAGCACTCATGGCTCACCGTGCCTGGGACAGGCAGAGCCTGAGCTGGCTGCATGTCCTTTTTCCACCCAGGCCAGAGGGGTGACACCTTCCCCCTTGTGTCATCTTGCAACCCTGAAAGTAACCTGTGTCCTCAAACAGGGAAGCAGTGTGTGAGCCTCAAGCTTGATGGCTAGCAGATGAAACCCTGTCGGGATGCTTCCCTTCCCTAGTTTACACCAGTTTGGGCTTTACCAGTGTAGCAGTGATGTTGGCCCTCAGGCCCTGCCCCTCCCTCAGCTCCCTTCCCCCGGGGCTGGGGTAAGTGCTGTCCCCACTGGCGTCTGCCTGGGCTGAGCTGGTAGCAGGAGGCTGATAGGACCCCTTGGGGGAAGCTTGTGACCCGTAGCCCCAGGAGGGGCTCAGTGGGGTCCTTCCCAAGTGCCACACACTCCCTGGATCTCCCCAGGAGGACCCTGGGTGAGGAGATGAGCGGTGGTGCTTCCTGCAGCCAAATCCCAGCCGCTGCTCATAGGAGCACAAGACGTACAGCTGGAAAAGCAACACCAAGACTGTGAACTGAGCCCAAGCAAAGACCTGACTAATGCCTTACCTGATCTGCTGTAAATGCTGAACTGGCAGACACAGGTTTAAATGTTACCCCCCCATACCGGTGATCCAGCTGAAAGGAGCTTCTGGGCAATGGGGGTATCCAGCAAGACATGAGGGGCTCTGCCCAGGCTCTCCCTTCTGCTCTGTGCTGCAAGGAACGGAATCCCATGCCCTTTAATGGCTGTTACCCCGGGTGTGCCCCTTGTATGATATTAAACAATCTATTTAACCTGACTAGCTGTTGCCTCAGACCCTGGGAGCTGAGCAGGACCCAGCTCTGCCCTGCAGAGCAGGTCATGCATTGCCTACGGTCCCAGCTCAGGGCCACCTCCTCTCAGGGTGCATCTGCCACTGTGTGATGTGTAAAAATGACTAATAAATGCTGTCATGTATGTCTTGATTTATTTGATGCCTTTTTCATTCCTAACCTTTGTTCTGAACTGTGAGAGAAGCGTTGTTTTCTCCATCTTGATCCTGTGTCTTCCTGAGGGTTAGCAACAGCGAGGTGTCCCACAGGCCCTGTCCCTCTGTGCCTCCCCCCTTCTGCAGTCATCAGCAGCTGGTCCTGCTGCCCGAGCCCCTTTCTCACCACCAGGGAACTAGAAATGAGAGGGAGATGATAAAAAATCAGGCTTTTGTTTTACCATCTGAACTGAGCGTGTGGCTGCTTGAAGGCACTGTGCTTCATAAAGCCAAGACAAGCCTCAGAGCCTGCGTCTGGCCAGGAGCACCCCAGTGTCCGAGCCTCTGGGTGGATGCTGGCTCCTACCTGGTGAATGGGATTTGGCCCTTCGAGGCAGTGGGCTGGAAAGCTACTGCAGGGTCATGGGCAACATTTCCCACCCCAGGAGATGGCAGCAGCCTGCGCTCTGCCCAGCCTTCCCCAATGAGCAGGGCTCCCGCTCTGGACTTCCCAGCGTGGTGGGTAGGAGCAGAACAGCACCTTCCCCGGCTTTGGGAAATGCAGAAGCAGGCAGCTGAGGTGATGGTATTTGGGGAAGAGGAGTAAACTGGCACCCACATTTGGAAGGTCTCTTTAGAAAGGGGATAGTGAACACATGGGAGTAATGGGGTGACCTCTCTCCTGCCTGGTGCTATTTGGGGCACTTTCTGGTCCAGGTGTGGTCCTGGTGAGGCAGCCGCCAGCTCTCTCCTCACATGTGCCAACAGCTGCCCCAGCAGTGCTCCCTCAGCTGGACCAGGCATCCCCGCAAGCACAAGAGCATTGAAGAAGTGGTGTTTCCACAGTTGCTCTTTTCTGCCTAAACTGCCTGACGTGCTCTTGGTGCTTCAGAGGTGATGCTCCGTGGGATGAGATCAGCTGCCCGACAGCCCTCACTCTGCTGGCACTGCCCTGCTCAGCGGTGCAGAGCAGGGCACTGGAGGCAGGGCTCTGCATCTCCAGAAGGCTTCACCTCGGAAAGAGCTCTTTGCTGCCAGTCCATCCGTGCAGGCTGCTGGGGTGGGAAGTATCTTTCACAGAGCAGTAATCACCCCAGCAGAAGGAGGGTTTGCTGAGAGTGTCTTGTAGAGACCTTCTCTCCTCCTCCAAGAGGCATTGCAGCTTTTCAAATGGCCACATCCCTCTCCCCAGAATGAGGGTACCCCCTTTCCAATGCTGCCAGGAGGGCTCACCTTACCCCCCCTGCCCTATGCCCTCCCTAGGGAATGCACGCCATGGGCCCAGCATCAGCCCCTTCGCTCTGTTGTTTTCTCTGGCTAAAAAAGAAATAACAATAAATTGCCCAGACCTAGGCAGGGAAGACTTTGATTTCTCCTGTGTTTTATATTGCTGCTGCTGCTGTTTGGCAAGTCGTCTGGAGTGCTGAGCTGTAGGTGTGAGGAAAGCGGCAGTGCTTGCTGGGGCTTGGGGAGCTAATAACGGCGTCCTTTCCCAGGTCAGCGCTGTTTCCCTGAAGCTTTGTGGAAATGACTCCTCCTGGCACTCTGTGAAGAAGAGAAAAGTCCTTCTTATGTGTTGCTGGTGAGCTGAAATAGCCAGCAGGCTTATTTTGGAGGGGTTGTATCTTGAGTTTTTGTCTATTTTTGTTCTTTTTTACTTTGAGGGCACAGACAGCAATTAGTTGCCTCTCTTGTGCAGGAGTCGTTGCTCAGGGGGAGCTGTGCTCCCTGCTGAAGGCGCCTTTGGGGGCCCTCGTGCAGCTGGAGCAGCTTGGCTTAGGGGTGGCCGAAGGGATGTGGGGAGGATGCGGGGTGCAGGGGAGCAGCCCTGCAGCTCTGGCACAGGCCGGGCAGGGGACGTGCTGCAGAGAGGAAGACTTCGAGGGCAGGAGGAGACAGAGCCCCAGGCTGCAAGAGGCGGTGAAGCAGGGCTGGAGAGCCGGCGGGGACCGGGAGGGGCGAAGGATTTTTTCCGCAGGATTTCCGTCCTCGTCTGCCCCGGGTGCCCGCAGCCGCTAGGTG